ATAGTGAAAGATGCCTTCCAAAAACTAAGCAAAGTATTAAGAAAGAGAAAAAATTATTTAGAATAATTATTATTTAGAATTAAGCAAAAAAGTATGTTTTGTAATAATGTCCTCCTCTGTGGCAGTGGATGCTGTATAAACTTCTCACTGGTGAAGAAGGTACTTGAAGCAACAGAAATATGATTCTACAGAAGGATGCTGAGAATACCATGGAAACTAAAAGGAGACTTATATTTAACATCACCAAGAGACAGTTGAAATTTCTATGGTACATTATTAGGATAGAGGGCTTGGAAAATCTGATACTCACAGGACAGATTGAAGGCAAGAGGAAAACAGAGGAAAAGAATGCATAAAATATTTACTGGGCTTGAGTAAACGGATGGGGGAGCGAGGTTCAGGCAAAATAATAAAAAGGCCTCATTAAATAAATGTACAAATGATAGGAACTTGTGGAGAACCATGGTCGCTAACACCCTGAAGGTACACAGCTCATAAATGATGTAGATGAGTATTTGCTTCTACAAGTGTTTATACTCTTTCAAGCGTGTGTATAAACCTGTGTATATAAACTAATGCACTTAATATATATATATATATATGTGTGTGTGTGTGTGTGTGCGCGCGCGTTTGTGTATGTGTGTGTGTGTGTGTATAAAAAAAACAAGAAACAAATCTCACCAAAATATCTTGGAAAATAAGGGAAACAGAATCAGCCTACAATAATAAATCCGAAAATTGTAAACGTCTTTTGTAATGCCAACGAATACTCGTTGTCACTTTCGTAATGCTCGTTGTAGTAGAGACTTTGTAATCGCATATACAACTATAGTAACGCTGTTGAACAATACCGATGTCAGATGCCTTCAAATATCACTCGCACTAATAGTAATTGCTCGATAATTCTCGCTCGAATAGTCACCACCGAATAGTGATCCGAATAGTGATCCATATAGTGATCCCTTAGACGCCATGCTAATTCCCATATATAGATTTCCTTTATCACCATAGTATCCTCGTATTCAAAATGGGATTGTCTATGTTTGCTCTCTGGTGATCTGTGTTCAAACTCCAGTGTCGGCAGCAAAATTTTATTCCTATATAACATGAAAATAGCAATAATTACCTTCCGAGACCAACAGAAATTACTAAATACACGATCAGAACTCATCGTAAATTGCAAACACAACAAATTTTTACGAGGTTAATTAAAAATCGAAAACTGAAAACGAACAGGAATAATTAAAAATAAATAAACAAAAATAAGTAAGATAAATTAATCCAAACCAATAAATAAGTAAATAAACTAATAAGAAACACATTAACAAACCACGAACGCACACATAAACACAAATAAAAGTAATGACAAGCAACAATAAATAAACAAAAGTTAACAAACAATACTACAGTTAAAAAAAATGCATCATGATCTACAATTATTCCCACTCAATAGCCCCTAGAATAACCGTTACGCCTACAAAAATAACCAAACAATAATGCGATGCCTATATCCAAAATGCTTCACTGACATCTATATATGAATAGTCGAGCAAAAACACAACGTATATGACCTGGCGATTGCAGACTGTTACTCTGGATGATGACTTCAATGTCCACTGAATATATATATAATGCACGTTTCATTAAATAGTATAGACTAGTTTTGTCTATTTATTCTAAGCAATTAGTTTTGTCTATTTATTCTAAGCAAATTACTTATCGTCTATTTATTCTAAGCAAATTCATATCGTCTGATAAGCTTAATAACATTATCATTGAAAGAAAATCACCATATTGATATATGTTTTAATCCTATCTAGGCTTTCTGCTTAAATAAGCCATTATCAAAGATTACAATTACATTACAATAAATTAAACAATACACGGACATAGAAACAATGATAGTCTGTTTTGTTTTCATGGAAGATTTCCAAGCATCGACAAACTCGTGCATACGAGACGCTGGAAGCGAAAATCGCACCGCAGTCCATGACATCACACATGACCACGCGAGAGTGAATATATGCATATTACTTCGACCGTTATTATAATGTACAGTTCTTATTTTATTAAATAAACGCCCTATTTTTATTTATTAATCAGTGTGTATTACGTCTATCGGCCAGCGGATACGTGAAACCCTGTAAAGAAAATATGTCCTCCAGCGAGGATGGAACCTGAGTCCCCTTTTTAGGGGAAGGCTACCGTTCGAACTGGCATGCTTTACCGCTCGACTACGGAGCATTTTTAAAAAAAAAAACCGCTAACACGGTTTTACAGTTTTCAAATAGGCTTTAGCCGATTTATAAGTGCTTCATTTATTTTATGACGTCTTTTAGAATTAGATGTTCTTAGTGTTATCTGCAAGGATTTTTTCTCAAAAGTCTTTTCATGGGTCTTCCTTATGTCACTGAGGTCGCTTAAGTAGTTGTCAATCGACGACGGTTGAGAAACGACCAAGTTTTAGGAGAAAATGAAAACAAAAAAAGACACTTATATTTAGTATCAGAGAAGAGACAGTTGAAACTTCTAGGACACAAAATGAGAAAAGGGGGCTTAGAAAGTCTGACACTCTGTTATGGTGAAACACACCTATTATATAGTTAATAGACTCTCCCACCTAATATAAGTAGGAGTAGTAACAGAAACGGGAGTCAGTCAGTGAGTCGATGTCGGACGACAGTTAGTCGAATACGAAAGTATCAGCGACCACCACAAGATTACTCTGCGTAATGCCTATTATATCAAGTTCCTAACGTTTTTGTACGTCGAACCTATTTTAGGACCGACTTAGTACAAATACAAGCCTCCACTGCGAAATAACTCCACAACACATTCACAGGACCTATCGATGGTAATAGGGTTAAGGGGGAAGTTGCGCATAATCTACATAACGAGCCTGTGTAAATGGATTACCGAACAGAAATTAAGAGAGATAGCGAAAAGACAAAGTTACAAAGAACTGGAAAGGACAGGAAATTGTAGAGAATCAAAAACGTTCACGCCCTGAAGGGATACGGCACACAAAAGAAGAAGAACAACAACAACAAAAACAACAACAAGCTTGTGTAAATGGTTGGCAGATCAGGAATTAGGAGAGATAGCGAAAAGACATCATTTATTAAGAGCTACAAAGGACCGAAAATTATGGCGAGCCCTGATCGCCCACATCCTGAAGGGACATGGTACAAGGATTAAGAGAAAAACCTGAAGAAGAAGAAGAAGAAGAAGAAGAAGAAGAAGAAATAATAATAATAATAATAATTTCTGAGTATGACAGGATGGCGCTCTTGATGTATATAGTGAAATGGCGGATTTGTCTTTTTTATCATATTTGTGCATCTGGTTGCAGTAAAAGTAAAATATTAATATTTTGTTATGATGTATTTTTAGTGTTGATTTCATTTGATTTCTGTTTGTTTTATATGTTCACTAAAAATATTTCCGGGAAGAAGACGTTATGCGTGCTCTAATACACTTACGCACCCACCCCTTATATATATATATATATATATATATATATATATATATATATATATTCTTTTGATATTTTTTTATTTTTACAAAAAAGTGCTCAATGTAAATTTACAGAGCATAAATATTATACGTTAACTGATTTAAAATATGGTTTCTTCGCTACACAGTAATAACCATGTTTCAAAAATTGAAGCTAAAAACTTCAAATTTGATTTTACAATTAAATTAAAACCATTAGTTCTGTTTCATCTTCAAGCGAATTTTGGAATATATATATATATATATATATATATATATATAGCATAATGAGAAGCCACGTATACTTTCTTAATATGTATATATAGAAAAAGTTTCAAATTAAAACAATTTATTTTATATATATAAATAAATAAATACTTTCATAAAATAAAACATTATTATTTTTTTAATTTGAAACTTTTTCTATATATATATATATATATGTGTGTGTGTGTGTGTGTATATAAGGGTTATGACATTTTGTAAAATAATTCATTTCCTGTATCACAATTTGAACTTATGTTCACAAATAATGAAGAAGGGTTCACTTCAGTTTATTTTTTAAAAAATGTCACACCCAATATGAAATTTCTAAAATCATGTCGGAGTATAATAGTACTATGACTTTCTGGAACCTTCCAGATTCTTTCTAGAGTTTTCTAGAACTTGTATCTGTTCATTTGTAAGGCTTGTGTTATGCTACAGCTATAAACTGTTAAATGCGTCAAAAATACATAAGTACTATCCAATTACATCATTACATCGTTTTACTGTTTATGGAAGATTGTAGTTTAAAAACAGTAAAATTGACCTTGCTGACCGAAATGCTCCTCTGTGGCGAAATCGGTAAAAGCACGTCAGGTTATATGACGTTTCCGTATAGGGTACAGGTTCGATTCCTGTCGGAGGACGAATATTTTCTATGCCTCTCCACAATCTCCTAACCCATCTAGCACAATAGTATTGTACTAGAATAAAAAAAAAAAACTACCCTAATAATTCGCATCACATTTCAAGGAACCACAGCTTTCACCTGGGTCCAGACCCAACCACCGAATGGAAAAAAATACATGTTATCACAACGGTATTGAAATCGCCAGAACAAGAATTTCGGACAGAGCGATAAGCAAACTAATGTCCTGTTCAGCTTCGTGGGAGTCTCTCATACACCGCAGACAGAGTGTAAGGACAACGTATCAGACGAGTGTCACCTGGGTTCGCTAGCGCACCATAGATGTAACTGACGGAATATTGAAGAGAATAAAAATGTTACGTAATCAAAATTCAAATGTGTTATGTAATCAAAATCAAAGTGTTGCAGTAACATTTAATCGTCACCTCACTTCATTACAACCCTAAGCAGTGTTTGAACCCCTTACTCATCCTCACTTTTCATACACTGCCACAAACTAATTTGGTAGGGTTACACAGTCTTCCTTCTGTCCTGTTTGTCTTCAATATCATGTCATTGACAGATCGTACAAACCCTCTTTTGGTTCACAGCCACTGGCGTTGAAACATCGATTCCCATGCAATCACCGAAGTTAAGCAAGATCAAGACTGCTCAGTACTTCGATGGGTGACGCTTGGGAATACCAGGTGCTGTAAGCTTGGATGTGCGGCTGGTGTAATGGATAACGGCTCGGGATTGTTAACCGGAGGGCCGAGTTCCAATCCCCATTGGATTAACTTATGCGCCAATACCATTGTACTACTGTACTGATGCGGCATTCACCCTGGGCGGATTGAGCCGGCTTCTTCCTGTTATGAGAAGAAGATTCTTGGGATAAATTACAGAAGTAGGGTACCCAGGCCTACTCGGATAACGTTCTTGCTTGCCGCGGGGTTCCCACAGACGCAGAGACAGGAACGACCAGAAGCCGCCGGTTACCGATGCAGACGCTCCTTGGATTTTCACCAGAGCCCTTGTTAGCCGACGTGTGTGTCAGACCTGTCCTGTCCTTGGGTGGCCCTACCAGGAACGAAGTTCCGGGCGGCATAGCTCTGACACTACCGTTTACACCCCCCCCACCGACTGTGAGGTAAGGGTTGGACTTTGGGGGCTTACAGTACCAGGTGTTCCCAAGCGGTCCCCCATCTAAGTACTGACCTGGCTCTACGATGCTTAACTTCGGTGATCGAACGAGAACCGGTGTTTTCAGCGTGATTTGACCGTAAGCAATACCCTTGGGAAAGGTATGAATCCACCTCTCCTCCCTAGCTATGGATTAATTAGTAAGATGTCTATTACTAAAACTATTATTATCTAAAAAAAAATTACAATTTAAAAATATTTTCTGCTTTAAATAACCTGCAAAGGGTTGATAAGCCATAAAAAACACCAATCAATCAATCCTTACCCACTTTCCTCGTTATATGACTATAAAACTCCTGATCCTCAGTAAAAGTGCCAGTATCGATCTCATTTTACCTACAGCTTATTCATTCCTCAGATGATCTCTTAATATTATTCTCAGTATCCTCCTGTAGAAACGCACATGTTTCCTCAAGTTTTCTTTTTATCAGTGAAAAAACTATCCAGCATCCATTAACATATAAGAGGATTGATGTTACGTAACAGTTACGCACTGTTGCCTTTGTTTCCAGCGTAAATTTTCCTTTTTCTTAATACTGCGCTTAGTTCCTTCAAGACATCTTTTCCTATTACAATGCGTCTTAGAATTTCTGTTATATATTCTCATCTCCTTTCATAACAATTTTCAAGAAGTTAAATTTACTAATTCTGCTTTGCAACAGGCACAATATGAGTTATACATATTATTTTATACAAATCCTATTTCTTTTTTATTGTGTTAAGTTGCTTCAGTCAGTGAAGTAGTTTGATACAGCGTACCAAATAGCCTCACTTTCAATGTACAATCCAGCCTCCAACACATAGTTTTGTTCATAGTGTCTTCTAAGAAAAACATTTTTTTTTACAGAAGCTGCTTGAAATGTACTATCTTCTGTTTATTGCTACATCAGATAAATGAAAACTCTGCTATCTTCAAACAGCTCATTACAGCGGGGGATCGGCACACGTTTGTCAAAGTGAAAAAAAAGAAAATTACCAGGATGCAAAAACGTTTTCATGCCAGAATTTTCATGCTTATAACACACGTGACTTAAAATGGCGGAAGCTTTTCAACTCACAATGAGGCTAGCAGAGGTGCCGTCAAGTGGTCGGAATGAAAATAAAAATAAGTGATTTAACCACCTCTATATAGCAAGCAGATCTGGCCACCTCGGCGTGGTGTAATGGTTAGAAAGCTTGTCTTACTAGATCAATTATGACTGAGTATCTGTTTAATCTGCCTTTCAAAGTATTCTTTTTTTCAGCGCCATACTCACAAAGTAAATTTTAAATTCGGGACATTTAATACAAAAATATTCGGTACTGTTTGCTTATAAACTGGCTTTTATTGGAACCACGTTGATGTAATGAATCTGCATACACCTGGGTTCCTCCTCACAGTAATATGATTGGCTGGTGTCAGCCATAAATACAGACTGATGTGGAGGTACATTGTTTATGTCTATTGCCTACGCCATTGCCTACGCCTATTGCCTACGCCTATTGCCTATCACTACGACGAGGACCAGTCCATTATGGTTACCTGCTAGATTGTCCTACTCGGTTACAGTAGTCAAGAACCACTTTGCTACTTCGAAAAAATATATCCCTTTCCGGGACATATCACACGTAATTGGGGACATGATTCACCAAAGAAACGTTTATTTATTTTCTTTTTTTTTTAAATCGAGTTCGCCCTGAGCAACCGAGTAAAGCCACTAAAAGACAAGGGATTAATTGATGTGGAAGATTAATCAGAAGAATTATAAACAGAAACATTAATAATGTACGAGAAGAAAAAGAATAATCAGAAGAGTTTTGAAGTTTAAAGTTAGCTGGAAATCATGGAACCGAAAGCGAATTTCACAATGCCAGGAGTGCGACAAAAAAAAAAAAAAGGTTAACATAGAATTTACGGTAACTTTCTAGACAACTTGACAGTAAATTGATGAGAACTAAACATCACTATAGTAATGCTCTTAAATTCAAAAAGACTAGGTACCACAAAGAAGAGTTAATCCAAACAATTTCCATGATAGTATTTATAAAAAAAATATATGTATTTATTTCTCTAAAATCTCTTTCGTCATTATATGTCCGTGAAATTTCAAGTGTTTTTTTTTTTTTTTTTTTGCCCCATAAAACTTTTCATTGCTCCACGTTCTTCGTGAATGGTATTCTCAGCATCCTTCTGTAGAACCACATTTCCGCTGTCTCAAGTCTCGTGTTTACTCGTGAGGAAATTGTCCATTATTCACTGCCATATAGGAGGATTGATATTGCATAACAGTCGAGCACTCTTTTCACTGTTTCCAGAGAAATATTCCTATTTCTTCACGTTGTGTTTAGTTTCTTGAAGGCAGGTTTTGCTATTCCAATTAGTCTTCGGATTTCTGTGTCATGTTTTCCATCCTCTTTTATAGTTAAATTTTAAATTTACCAATCAGTCATTCAGTTATGTGCCATGCATGATACACACTAAGGCGATCATGTATCTTTCGATACATGACTGATGAAGCAGATTTTTTCCCGCAGTAGGTTGCCATTTCTTTCTGCGGTAGACCAGTTGCCATCCAAGGCTATACAACCCGGTCTGTTCTGCTATTTACCTATAGCTGGGGAGAGAAGAGGATCCATACCTTTCCCACGTAAGTGAGTGTAATGGATTGGACTGGAATTCGAACTCGGCTCTCCGATTCCTCAATCCAAGCCACTATCCATTACTCCACCTATAGGTTCATATTATAATCCTGCAATATCATTGGTCCTGACCTGGCATCTCGGTTTTCGACACTTTGCCCTTCCACCGTAATAGAGCTTAACCTGTATTTTTTCTATAAATATTTTGATGGGAATTGTTCTGATGAAGTTTCCACTATGGTACATAAACTTTGTGAATATTAGCGCAGTACCAGATTGGCGGCAAGGTCTCTTTTTTTTTTTTTTAAAGTTGAAATGGCTCGATGTAACCGTAATTTCTATGCTAAGTGTTTCATTTCTCGCACTTCTCGCTTGTGACACTCTCTTCCGGCTTTCAGCTTTCAAGTCAAGAGTCAATCGTTATCGCCTGTCTTTCTACTTTTTCTTCTTCTTTGTTGTTTCCACACCTTCATATGTTTTTCTTATATTCTTTCACCCTCAGTAACTACCCACGTTCCTAGTAGTTTTATTGTCTTGCTTGAGGTGAAAATATTTTTTAAAAAAAACTATTTTTTTTTTCACAGATTTTAGCCGGGTTACGTTAGTACAATCACTGAAGCTATTTGATAGTTTCATTTTCAATGCACTATCCAGCCTCCAACACAGTTTTGTTTATATTCTGTTCTAAGACAAAAAAAAACCTTTGAACAGAAGCTGCTTGAAATGTAGTATATCTTCTGCTTATTGCTACATCAGATAAATAAAAAAAAAACTCTGTCTTCAAACGCAAATTACAGCGTGAAATCTGCACATGTTTGTCAAAGTGAAAAAAGTAAATACGCAAGATGCAGAAACGTTTTGCCAAACATAGATCACTGTACCAGAAGCCCCTAAAAAAACAAAAAAACAAAACATAGTGTCAAAAGGACGGTTTTTCCATTGACACCGCTATTATTTTAACTACCTTCACTCCTCGGCAATGTTTGTTACAGTTGTTTAAAATCTAAAGATATAATTAAAGAGAATTTATACATTTTCTTTTTTCTTGAGAATTGACAAAAACAATAAACGTTATTTATTTTATATTCTCGGGGAGTGAAGGCAGTTAAAATAATAGTGGTGTGAATATAAAAACCGCCCTTTTGCCACTATGACTTTTTTTTGGGCGGGGTGGGGGTGCTGGTACGAAGATCCAAGTTTGGCAACGTTTTCATGGCAAAAAGCCTAAAGAGCGAAGACAGGATCTACTTCTTGTAGCAGTTCTCCATATTAATTGTTTCTCAACTTATAAAGAACATTTATTGGACGTAGGTTTTCCCAAGATTCAAAGGGTGGAATGAGCCATTATAATACCGCGCCGACCCAATGCGTGTTGTTAGAGATGGATGTGACACCCTTCAGCGATCTTGTCTTTTTTTTCATTCTTGATCGTCCAAGTTTATTTGCGCAAGTGAATATAACGCACCTGACTTGGATTCGAACTCGTTTCCTCCGATTTCTCATCACGAGCCGTTCTCCATTGTACAACTTGTACAACCAGCACATTCATTCGTTGCAGTTTGATACAACCAATAACGACTCCATTGGATTATTTCATTGTAACCAAATGCACGCTAACAAGAAAAATGGTGCCTCCTCATATATATATATATATATATATATATATATATATATATATATATATATATATATATATATATATATATATATTTGGTTGGATAGATGTGAGTGTGTGACCCTGGGTTTCACGCTTTAGCGATCGTCAGATCGTCGTCGTGTTTGTCTGACGATCGCTAAAGCGTGAAACCCAAGGTCACAAACTCACATCTATCCAACCAAATATGTTAGCTATATCTCTGATATTGAGCGCTTTCTAATAAGTACCGCGCATATAA